AGTGGTGAGCCCCGTTAGCACCGCTCGTAAAGCTGTTGGAATGGAACGAGCCCTTCCATTCCCCGGTGTGCTAGTGCTGCCTGCGTGCTGCCTGTGCGGGTGGCAGCAGTGCACCTGAGCCCAGCAGGAGCTAGCTGGGGCAGCGGGGGACACACTTTCTTTGGGGGTGGGGGGCATGAGGAGGTCAGGAAGAGGGAGGCTGCTTTTGTGTTGTGTGCTCATTTAAAGGTAGGGAGGGAAGAAACTGGAGTCAGGAACAATGGACCCGTGTTATCATTTCCCAGCATCTGGAGTGCCCTCAGACAGGGAATGCAGCCCTGAGATGTGGGAAATACGGTCTCCCCTGGCAGGGGATCTCCCCCCCTAACTTCTGTTCTGCCACTTCTGTGTAAGCCCCAGAGATTTTTATAATTCCTGCCCCCGCTGACCGAAAGAGGCGCATTGACAGGCCATTGCTGCACTTGAATTGAGGTGTAACCTAGCTGTATTGTCCCAGGTCCTTTTGAAATGCAGTCATCTGATGACAAGAAACTGAGAAATCCGGGCTCGGTTTGATGTGTCCGACAGGCAGGACAATAAAGAAAAGGTGTTAAAACAGCCACTCACACAAACGCACACACACGCAGGCTTGCTCTCTCTCCAGGTCCCATCTGAAGAGGTTTTGTTTCCCACCCACAAAGCTGATCATTTACAGTGAAGAACCAGCACTATTTCTTGGTTGTGAGGTCAGGGAAAAACACTTAGCAGCTCCTGCACCCTCAGCTGCCCCCAGCATTGCTTGTACTTTTTTGGTTTCACTCTCAAAAAAACCCCAGGAGATGCAGCTTTAATATCTCTGGGGCATCGAGGTGGTAGGACACCAAGGTAACCAAATCCCATGATCCCTTCCATTTGATCCTGAAATTCCTGTGTGTCATCCTAGAGAATTTTAAGGGATATTTTTGCATGTGTTACTCAGCCTTTCAGAATTCCTAATCCAGCCCATCAGAAACATTCTGATTCCTCCCTTTCTGCCCAGCTCATACCCCAACAAATCCCTGCTTCTCTGGGGTACTCCCCTGGGAAATGCAGTTTCCTGACACATACTTTCAGCTCCTGACACAGATCCAAGGCAGCTGTGCATCCTTGATCTCTTGCTTTGTGATAGCAGGGGTGGTGGCCAGATGAGGCTGCATGCAATCCCATATTGTTAAAACTTGTGCTTTGGGGTATGAAAACTTAACATTTCAGTCGCCTCCACCTCTCCCTTCTGGTGTCCCTCTCTCATATATAACTTATCCCAAAGAATAGGGTAAATTTCAGATCCCCAAGATGATCCTAGTGACTCCAGAAGGAAACAGAAATATCCCCTTCTGTAGCAAACTTCATCCTCTTAACCTTCCTGCAGCCCCAGGTTGGTCCACTGCTTGAGTCCACGCCTGGAGAAAATAAGTAAGGATGAACTAAGAGAAAGCAAAGATCAGAGTTAAAAGGATGAGAAGTCATCAGGAAGGATCAGAGGGTGTGCAGGAAGAAGGGATTAGAGTGGATAGTGGGAGAGGGAAGATTCTTCCCATCTAAAATGAATTTGATCCTGTTAGTTTAGATTGGGAGTTAGTTTAGATTTGGGGTTTGATGAGGAAGGAGCTGTTGTGAGTATGTAATGGGTATGTCCAGCAGTCTGGCTACTGCTGTTTTCTTTGTTCATGCGTGCATTTTGTTCATTAGGAATAATACTGTTGTATCTCTGGTAGGAATCTGCTGATGGGAGTGTCTGTGAGGGGACTGCCTGTGGTTGCCTGCTGTTGAAAACGTACCCTAACAAAGAGTTTTGAACCCATCTCCTTTAGATTCTCTGGTCAGTCAGAGCATGTTCAGATGCTGATACTCCAGTACAAGACAGAACAGAAGTAAGAAATGCCACCAAATGTGGCCTAGGGTAATACAGGGACTATGATGATTCACTGCTGTTGTCTGTGTCGGTGATATGCTGTTGTGGAGGGGGATGCTGCCTCTTTCCTCTTCGTTCCACCTTCCGCTTTTACTTTTTCCTACTTTGTAATGAGGCGTTGCTCATCATTTCAGCAGATCTGTTTTCCATGCTGGGGAAGAAGATAAAGTCTTCCAGTCTCTCAGGTTGCGTCAGCTATAAAGTCATTCTTCTCTGGGTTCATGCTCTGCCCGTCTCCTGTTTTCAACCTCTGAGCCCCAATTCTGGACCACAGCCCTTTTTCTGTGCTCTGTGCCAATGGCACGAGGAAGGTCTGGAGACCAGAATATCTACAAGAGTGCAGAGGCATGCCAGAGCCTTGTGGAGAGTGGGGGGAGAAAAGAGATAAGAAGAACCCAGAAGGTGTATAGTGTGCCAACAACCTTCAGCTGCCCACCCACTGATGCAGGCATGGCATATATTATATGATTTCTTGAGCTGCTCTAGATCGTGAGAGGGGAGGAGAACCTGCCCTGGCCAAGTCCAAAGCCTGGGAGATCCTCACAAGAGTGTTCACTCAGAAACCTGGAAGATTTGTTTCCTTTCCCCTCCACGGGACTTGGCTCAGCTCAGAAAAATGGGAGACCTGGTCAGTCTGTGTTTAATCATTACACCTTCATTTTGTGCATTTCATTGAGGTGAGGCAGTCCAGTGACACAAAGCTTGTGCAGAGGCATCAGTAGCACTGAAGTAGGCTGCTTTTTAGCACTGTTTTTTCCTAGTGTTTGTGTGGTCATGAGAATTACTCTTACCTTTTCAATGTGGTTTATGCAGTGATGATACCTGGCGATGTACAAAGATTGCTCTTCTGAAGTTGCTTCTTGTTCTGTTAATACAGGTTTTAGACTGCATGTGTGTGTATATGTGTATCAATACATTATAAACAGACACATTCCTTACCGCTACATTTATGAGGGAGAGGACAGAGCACCCAAAAAGGTCGTGTTAGAATTTCCTCAGGGGAGGAGAGAATATACCTCCTTCAGTGCAATCCTAAATGCAAGGCAGGGGTTTCCAGGTTAGTCCAGTCATTTCTTCAGCCAAAGATTTTCTCTCTTCTGCCTTTTCAAACACAAAAAGGAAAAAAACCCACAAGAGCCATAAAAGAACAAAGAGGAATATTTGAATATTTTTCCTCCTTTTTCTTTGAAATTGGCAAACCTTGTGGAAATGCTTTTTCTTTAAAAAAATTCAGTTGAAACTAAAACTTTTTCATCAAAAAAGTGACACATTTTTATCATCTTTGTGTCAGTCTCCCCACTGGGGTCTGTTCTTCTCACATCTCCTTCTCAAGCAGCTCCAGAAAAGCAAGCTGTGGGCATCAGCACCTCGCCTGGGTATTGCTCACACCGGTACCCTCACTGGTGCCCTCAAAAGCTGCCACAACCCCGGGCTCCCCCACTGTCCTGCGGGCAGCGCTGGTGGCCGGCAGGCTGAGGAGGGCAGCAGAGCTCCGTGGAGCTCCACACCAGCAGGCAGAGCTGAGCCTCCCGAGGCCCCCAGCATCGGGGTGACCCCAGCGCTTGGCTCAGCAGAGGTGTGGGAGAGGGCAGAAGGGGGGTTGTCCCTTGAGTTGACAGCACAGAGGTGTGGAACTGGTGTGAACTTTGAGATGATGAGTGAAAACCCAAATACTTTTCCAAAGCTGGCAGAAGAGCAGAGAAAACTGATGTATAAGCCCACAACTGCTAGCTACAAATTTGCTTTGTATTAAGCACAGGGTTTCATGCACGGTTGATCCTGCCTCCCAAACCAAGCTGCAGTCTTCCAAACCTACATCTGATGAGCACTGTGGTTTGTTCTGCTTTGTGGGCAACAAGGGGAGAAAAAAAAGCCCCACTGAAACTTCTTTCAGCCTTTTCTAGCACCGTCCTCAGCATCCTGAAGAAGTCATGCAGATCCAGGCGCTGCACGTTGAGTTGTTGTGCTGCTACATCTGAAATGTGGAGATAGTTAAAACACGGACAGTAAAAGTGTAAACCAGTCTGTGCTTTCAAGGGTCTCAATCAAGCCATAAGGATGCTAAGCACCTGGAGTCATGCAGGCTCTGTTGCACCAGCTGTAACACCGGGAGGTCCCCCCATTGTATGTATTTTAACCCGTACAGATGCAGGGAGTGCTCTGCTTAACACGATTATTGGTGTGACCATGGGACTCTCACCATACAGGCATAGACTGGTAGGGGCAAAACCTGCCCATTGGACTGTTACCTTGAAACGCCCATAGCTTGCAAACAAACAGATGAGTAAAAACTTTATTTTGGTTACTGAAAAAAGACCATAACTCCCTTATGGGCCAGTTTAAGCTGAATTATCTTAACTAGGAGTCACTCCTCTTTACCTCCCAGCCCAGGGAGGTTTGGAGGGCACAGTCCTCTCCTTGTGACCTGCTAGTAAGACCTTCCCTTCTGTGTTATGTATCCTGTAGCATTTTATCAGCCTTGTGCTGTGTTCCATAGCAGAAGCCTTTAGTGTACAACTCTCATTGGTGGTGGTGGTGGGGGAATCACAAGTTGTTCTGCAAGGTGGATGCCATTCACAGCCTTGCCTTTGTCTTGGGTCATTACCACTAAGCTGGTGATAAGCTGCTATTAATTACAGATTGTCAGCACATGCAAATTGGAACAAGAGCATACCAAAAGCAGCAGCTCAGTCCTGCTGAGGGAGCTGGCACTGAGAGCCTTTGTGGGCTGGTGACAAACTGTTCTTGGAGGATCTGCCCTCTGAAGTCATTCAAATTTGCTTGAGAGCATCTTGCTGGGGCTTGTAAGTAGCTCTTCACAATCAGATTTGCTTATTTGACTGAAGCTTTGGCAGTTGTTCTCTTTATCACCTGAAAGTTTGGTGATGTACACAATGACTCTGAAGGTGTCAGTTTAGCTATTTATTACACTGTGTGGTGAGAGTGCAGGTGTGGATTGCCTCCTTCTCCTCCTCACCCCCCTCTACTCTCTTCAGACCCACAGCACTCAGTGGTGCAGCACACTTGGCCTCATGCAGTGCTGGCTGTGTTGGTGCCCCGGTCAAATTGGGGCTGAATCACGGCCAGGAATACATAGCTAGAGACCTGATCCAGCTGCTTGGCTTGCACTCTGAGCTGTACAGAGCATACACTCCAAGCGGGGCAGGCTCTAGTAAACGTGCTAATTAATGGAAAGTCTTTTCATTTACTATTGTCTACATGGGAAATTTTACTTGTTTCAGCACTGCAGCTCCGTAGGCACTGGAAGAACCTCTGCCTCAATGCTTTAGTATAAAAATGGGTTTCCTTCAGTTTGTCTCCAACAGTTCTTAGCTGACCTCATGTAAACTAAAATAAGGTCGATGAGCTGAGGAGCCCATAAAGAGTGCTTGTCCCAGTTAAATGAAAACCATTCCCGAGTAATACTTGGCTTGACCAGAACGCTCGTTTTGCACAGACCCAACCTCATCAGTTGTTCTCAGTGGTTGTTGGCAAATGCAGTGACTAAAGCAGCAGCTGTATTTTCAGCAAGTGAATAATCCTCTTGCTTGAGAGCTTCATCTAGGTTAAAATGAGAGGATACTGAAGGGGAAAGAGACCAAGCAGCCCCTGCCTGTGGTGTTGCTGTTTCTGGAGTTTCCAGGGCTCTTAAATGGGCAAACATAGGTGTAATAAAAACAATTACCCTTAAGGAGTAGCACCTACAAATTCACAAAGAACATGCTTTTCTCA